CGCTCACGGTTTTGCGCGGGGTGAAAAAATATTCCCGATGAAACAGATCGCGGGAGCATCAAACTATTTGGTAAAAAATTTCGCTTTTCCGTTCGATCCGGCAAATGCACCCGTCACGTTAATAAGTTTGCGGATATTGAATTTGAAATAAAGCTATTTACGCCACTTTTCGAGAACGAGCAAGATTTCCAGAGCTTTTTTGTAGAAAGTGTAAGAAACGATCGTTGCTCGGAGACACTGGTATCGCGTAATCGCGCGAAAAACTCGCGTCGTGACGGATGAAAATTCGAACACGGAAAAGCCGTTTAACCGTCGCCGATACGAGTTATTTAAGTAGACGTATAATTAGACGCTCGAGACGCGCGTTATCTTTCGACAAGCATAATACAGACTTTGTGCAAATAAAGCGTGCTGCGAGCCAAGATACCGTTCGGGCGCGAGTAAAAAATAACCGCGCGTAAAGGCGAGAGGCGTCGGATCGCGCTCGAAAGTATCGACGGAAGCGATATTGGTTTCCGAATTGCGCTTGGAGAAAGGTCGCGAGGGGGGGCGGGGGGCGGACTTAAGATCGCAGCTGCGATAGAGGTGGAACTCTCGATCACCGTTTGACGGGTCTTGTAATCGACTCGCGAGCAACCGGGGTCCGCGCAGCGCAGACGGTGGCTTTTTCTCTCGCAGCGTTCTCTCGTCGAAGAAGGGTTCGGTCGGGCGTCACGCATTTTAATACATCAAGCTTTTCAATTTTCCCGCGGCTGGTATCGCGACGAGCCCCTGCCCGTCGAAACGACGCTCCTGATATATCGCTTAGGTGGCCCGTTACGCGTTCATCAACGCGAGAATCGATACGAGAGCGCGTAGACGATTGCGCTTTGTGTCCGGGAGCGGAGAACGCTCGGAAGCGCGCGCGAAAACACAATCAAGACCGGCCACGGCAAAAACACTAATTTAAACGGAACGAAGGAAATATGTAGTCGTATCCGTTGTGTATCAGGATGAATGGCGCTCGCTAGCTCGCTCGCTCGGTTACTACGATTCACGATTTACCGTTTTGCGCCTTTTTTCCCCTCCGCCTGTTCCCGGCGTTCGCTTCCTCTACCGTCCGTCGTGGAACGCGACAGGCGTTTCTCTACGGCCACCGGAGACGAACACAACGGGGATAGACAGAGGAGGAATGCTAAGTGTACGCGAGAGGATTTCCTAGGCAAAGCCGCTATTGCCAAAAAGGATAACGCGAGGGAAGATTAAATTTTTTTTCGACCCGGCCGACGCGCGCCGCGGCGTCGTCTCTCCCTTTTTTTTTTTCGCCAAACGGCTCCGTTCGTTTCTTTCCGCGAGCGTCGCCCCCCTTTCTTCGAGCTTCCGGGACCGCGAAATAAAACAGACGCGTCTCGATCGCGCAACTATCGTCGAACGATCGGCGAGTTAAAAGACAATTTATATTTAAATCCCGTTTCATAAAAGCTCTTAATCCCAAGGAAATCCGCCTCTCGCGGTGGAAACGATCCTTTGCGGCGACTAAATCTTTAATAATCCATCCTGGAGTCGCGGCCGCTCCTCGACGGGGTGGATTTTTCCGCGAGCGAGCCGCGCGTTCTTGCCGCGCCGTGGTCCGTTGCCAGTCATCGGTTTTACATGTAAGTTTTCCCGTGCAACGTTCCTTTGACGGATTTTCGCGGTGCACCGTTCGCGCTACTCGAAATACCAGAATCAACGCACCTCCTATTACGTTCGCCCGCATCAATTAGGCATTTTAATCGGAAAGGCCTCGCGCGCCGCTGCTGCGGAATAGTTGCGATATACTAGCGTATTACGATACGAGCAGGCATGCCCGGAGAATTGGAACGTGGTTGCGTTAACATAATGGAATTCCGCGGAATGTTATGCCCATTATACATACCCGATTGCATCATCGGACCGATATATACTCGCGATAGAAAAATAATACTCGGCCTCCGACGACCGGCTCTCTTCAATTTTCTAGATTGCCCGAGAAACAAGGATATACCTCGTCGTATTTGTCTATTACGCGCGCAACGCCGATCGATCTTGACCGTTTCCTAACGGGCACGATCAGTTACGCGATAATTATTTGCGATTTACGTAACCGGACGCCGACAGATTTTTCGATATCTCACGCGTGCATCGATCTACCCTAAGCTCCGATACCTTCGACCAAGATTCGACGCTGCCGTTTTTTTCCAATCTCTCCTCCTTGTCACGCGTTACCTCTTAAATTAATTCACGTTACAGGAATAACCGTTTTTTATTTATTTGCACGGCATTTAACGGTGATAATAATTGCAGCCCACATGTCCACGAGTTCAATTTTAATGCACCGTCTAGCCGAATCGGGAACTTCCAAACCCGAGGAATTTAAATCTTGTTTAGCGCGTCCGGATCCGCAAAGCAGAATATTCGATCTTGTTAACACCAACCGCGAGGAAGTAAATATTTTTGGTAGACCCCGCAACATCGTTTCGAACCGTATGCACGGAAAGTCACTCGTAACATCGATGCACCATAATTTCATTCTCGCACTTTTCCTTTCCTTCGTCTGTCCGTGCGCCTGTATTCCGCCGTGCTCGCAGCCTCTCTGACCCCCCCTTGGAAAAAAATAATAATAATCGCTCCGAACCTAAATTTCATATCTCCAGATACGCCCGCGCGGATCTTATCGCCAGATTATGCAATTTGATATAAACAGTCGCCGAGATAATTTGAATTTCTTTGAATCGTTCCTGCTTTAATTCTGGGTGGACAGATTTGGAGCACCGTTTTGGACCGACGCGGCGCTTACGTAGGGTTACGTGTCAAACTTCAAAGGCTTTGGGTCTGATTACTATTTTATGAACTGGAACTGTTCTGGGGGCGTGCCAAAAGAATCGAGACCACCAATGCCCGGGTACTACCTTATTATACACAAAGGGTTTCCCTGGCGTTGGCGGGGAACGATAGCCAAGTCATCGATACGATTACGACATCCTGTAATCGTTTCGATCGTCCCTGCGCAAAATTGAAACAGTTTTTTGGGGGAAACGGATACTTGTATTTGCAAGTATCTATGCTATATTCAAAAATGTATTCGAATCGTTATTTCGAGGCTGGTGCGTGGAGAGTCCCGTCGATCGGCGTCAGAGTTTCAAAGGTGCAAGGAGAGGATCCACGGTGACAGATCCGTGACACGGTGAAAAGGTTGGGATGGTTGGTCGATCGTCGATCGTCGATCCGGGTCCAAGGAGGTTTGGAGCGACAGACAGGGACGCCGGTTGCGAAACGAAGCGCGGTCGGTAGCTGTTCGTTTAATAACTTGCGCCGGTGGCGGACGATAAATAATGCAGGAGACACCGTCGTCCCGATGTAATTAACGAGAACAGTCGATACCCGGTGTGTGTCACGTATGCGCGAACGAGCGCGTAGTCAATATTTGTCATTCGTTTTAACAAAAAGAACGTTACAAAACGGTCGGATGCTCCGCGTCCAAATATTGACTGTGCTCATTGACGTTCATTGATACTCTCAATTAGTGCACACCGTCGAAGCCGATCGTCGGGTAATTGGACCTCTCCGGCAAAGGCACGATGGACCGTTGCCGTCCGTATGGTCTTTCGTTGGACGACGTTTCGTGTAAAAACATTCAAACGAGCCGACCCAACCCTCCAATTAAAAACGCGTCGCCTTCTCCCGCGCCTTTGCCGGCCACCGGCCGTCCCGGGCTACGCCAAAGTCATTTTCCGCGAATTTGCGGCGCGTCGAGACGCCACTCCGACGTTTCTGCCTGCCGCGAAACTTCCACGAGGAGAGAAAACCGTGACGGATCTCGTTAACGGCGAGAACCTAATTATCAACTTTCGAAAACGGTTACACGCTCCATAGATTTTTTTGCTCCCTCGGCCCTACGAGGACCCGTTCGTTCCCGGTGCCCCACCCCCCTGCCCCCGACCTGCTTCGCCCTTCTTTTGTTTCGTTCGCCACCTTCGCCAGCGCGCGGCAAACGCTTTCGCGCGCGCCAACTCGTTAAGGGACTCCTCCACTCCAGACCCACCGAACAAACCGTTTCTCTTTTTTCGCCCTTTTCTTCAAACTATCGGAAATCATTCGACTACGACTTTCAAAGTTACACCAAACGTCGAAATGCACGTTCGACGCCCTGAAACTGGGTCAATTTTGGTTCATAGATTATTTATATGCTCGTCGCAGCGATTGAAAAAGCAACCTTCTCGCGACAAGATTGGAAAATGGAGCATGTAACAAGTAGTAGTTTTAATAGAAAAATGACGTCAACGTTTGGCCAAAAACGACCAGTTTTACGTTATACGCATAGATTAAAACCCTGTTCTTCTCTACGCTACTTCTTCCCGATACCTCTGACAATTCGGTACGCCTATAAAGTAAATTTATATCATCGAAACGGAACCGTAACAAATTGTAAACGGTCTATTTTTATTTAAGAAAATGTTCCGCTCGTTTCTGTAAAATTCCGCTGTTTCTCGGTCTAACGGGTTAACTTTAGAAGCAGCATCTTTTCGCACGCTTTATTTTCTTTATCGCACCGATGTTTACCTTCTACCTATAATTCCGTCGAATCGCGCAATAATAGACGCTAAATAAATAAATCGAATAATAATATTTTCGTCTCGCTGCCCGGAGCTGTCGTACGATTTCGGAGAGATGGAATTTAAAAAATTAAAATATGCTTCCCCGAAACACGAGTGAAAAATATATATGTAACATATTATAGGATTTTGGAGCAAAAGACCCCCGTCGATGCGTTCGGGATCAACGTATCGATACGTAACCGTTCTATATTCCGGAGCCACGTGCTAGATGGTGGAGACGTTAATTTCATCGGTAAGATTCGCGTGGACGAGCACGGCTATACTGTTTACGCGACCGTTGACACGTGCTTTTTGTCGCGGTGTTTACGGAAGCCGCGCCGCATCGGGCAACGTTGTCCCCCGATCGATCGATCGCTCGCGATAAAAGATGCGTAATCGACTCACCCTTTCCTCCTCACGGATCATCTCGGCGATGCCGGGCTTAATCTCCAGATCGTCTCCGGGAGTCTGTTGACCGGCGACTCCCTGTTGATGATGTTGTTGCTGTTGCTGCTGCTGCTGCTGTTGTTGCTGCTGTTGTTGCTGTTGCTGTTGCTGAACGACGAGTTGCTGTCCGTGAGCGGTCAGGTGGTTGACGGAGCCGTGGGGACCGGAAGTCACGTGGCCGGGCACATGGTGAGCGGAGACGGAGTGCGAGCTCTGCTGTCCCTGCGGGGGCGGCGGCGGGGGCGGTGGCAGAGGCAACGATACCGGGAGTTCCTGAACGTTGATCTGCGGCGTAACCGAGACGCTGGGAGTGCCGGGGGACCCGAGGGATCTCGGGGTGGAACTGCTGGTGAGCATCCCGTGAATGTCGGGCACGATCACGCCTGCACCGCCGGAGTTGGGGTCCTGATCGTCGGGGATGCTTCCAGGCGCCAATCGGTCGGGGCTGCTGCCCGGTGGCGATCTCTCGCCGGATATTCGACGGCGTTTCTTCCTGTGCATCGCCGCCGCGTTTGCCGCCACCTCCTCCAGGCTCGACCTGGACGTCAATTCTTGCTCGCTGTTCACGTCCGCGAGGCCGCGGATCTTGAGGCTCTCCGCGACCTTGAGCAGCGGACCGATCTGCTCCTGCGACACGTTGATCTCGCCCTTGTACATGAACTCGACGGCGGCCTTCAACTCGGGCCACTTGATGTCCTTCATGATGACGATCGGGTGCTGGCAGGGATTGTCGAAGAACAATGCCTGGAAATACGGGCTGCACGCGGACAGGACCATCTTGTGCGCCTTGACGCTGTGCCCGTCGCAGGCCAGGGTCACGTCTACGAAGCTCTCGCTCTGGAGAAGCTGATCGAACACGTTGGTCAGATTCGTTTGGTAATTGTTCCACCTGAGGCAAAACTGCTGGGGCGACCCAGCGCCGCTCTGTTGCGTCATGGTTTCGGGGGATTTCGAGTCTCGATCGTTTCCTCTTCCGCTTCTCTCCTCGTGGTGGTGGTGCTCCTTGCGATCGCGGTCCACCTCCGCCGCCACCGCCTCCTCCTCCTCCTCCTCCGCCGCCTCCTCCTCCTTCAGACCGGCGCGGTCCTTGACGCCTTCTTCCTCCGTTTCCTCTCTTCGCTCCGTTTCGATCGACGGAATGTTCGCGTGGTCGTTTCACTGACCGGTCGCGACCGAATCAACAGCCAGGCCGCATCTGTAACACATAGGTACACAGCCACGCGCGAACCTCGAAATACGCGCGAACCCGGCGCGCCTCCTCGTGGCAACGCGCGCCTCTCCGTCAGACGTGCGCGACCTCGGGAATCCTTGTCCCGAGGATTCCGCGGACGAGCATCCTTTTCCTCCGGACTACTTCTCGATCACCGTTCCTCGTCGTTTCTTTTCCTCGCGAACGGGCTCCGTTCGTTATCGTTATCGTTATCGTTATTACGCGGTTTACGGAAACTGTTAATTCGATTTCGCGTCAATGTCCTCGCGCACGCTGTCCCGAACGCATCCTTCCCGACTTTAAGCCCGGCGCGAATCGATCCTAGATCGAGAGATCGCGGGCACCCGCGCGCGCGCCACTTTCGAATAAAGGGACTCTCGTTGGTCCTCCTACTCTCCCTAGTACTGCCCGCTGCTGCTCCCTAGAAACGTGTCCGTCTGTCTTTGTGTTTCCCGGTGACAGCTCCTGCGCTCCGAGAAACGTGGAGAGGCTCGGGTGTCGGGGTTCGCAGCAGCACCGACCCTATCGAAAATCACCATCGACACCAAACACCATCACCGAACGAACAGCACTGATCGAGAGCCCGATATCTCCGAGTATCGGGAGAGGATAAAGGTGCGCGCGGTTTACGTGGGTCGCGTGTACGTACACGCGGCGCGCTTTCAACGGACCGATGGGGGCGACAAAAAACGCAGGACGGAGGATGCACGATCTGCACCCCGTGACGAGCGCGTCGCAACTGAGAGGCTCGCCGCGGCGCGGCGCGGCGACGGTTCGCTCGAGCGGCTGTAGAGAGGCCGTGAGGCGGTCGAGCGCCGATATACCGCGCGTTCGCAGCCAGCGGTGCCAGCGTCGGTCGGCTCGAGGGGCGCGCGACCGTGCCAGAGAGAGACGGACAGAGCGCCGCGACGCGCGACCGAGAGCGACGGAGGGGCCGCGTACGACGGAAAGAGACAACCGATCGCAAAGAGAACGAACGAGCGCGGGTGGAGGAAGCGTACGTAGCTCGCGCGTCCTCGCGTTCCCCTCGCTCCGTCCTCGCATCGGCCAATCGGGAGCCTCGCCTTCCGATCGGACGCGCCGACAGGCGCCGCCCCTGGAGACCGCCTCATACCGCCTCTCCTTCTTTCTCCCTCTCGCGATCGGCCTCTCGCTTCCTTCACCGAGAAGAAGAGAATTCTCCCGCGGCAGATCGGAGAGGAGGCTCGCCGATCGGCCTCCCGAAACTCCGATCCACCGATCACGACGACGAGAGGCGAGCCGCGCCGATGCCGCTGGTGGTGGTGGTCACCGGTGCCGCCGTCGCTGACTGCTCTCGCGGTCCTACCTACCCTCCCCCTCTCCCCCTAACCCCTCGCGATCCTAGTCCTCCGCGGCGTTCCGCTTCCGAACGCCGTGACTCGCGCGCGCTTCCGCTACCTTCGATTTGCGCTCGCGAGGCCACGATCATGTCGCCTAAGTAAACGCCGAGTCTCGGGGTACCAGTGTTCCCTTCGACCGATCTCCCCTCGTCGGACCTAGATGATCATCCGCGATGGGAATTCGAACCGACGACCCTCTCTCGAGCACCCCCTCGCTCGCCTGACATTTTCTAGATCCATCCTTCTTTTGACAAGCGACGAGCATCCACGGAACCGGAAACCCGAAAAGCTCACGGTCCACGACGCAGGCCGAGCGTTTGGAAAATACGATGCCTCGTGGTGATCGCGAAGCGCAAGTTTGATTTCGCGGATCTCCGAAGGTGGTCCGCAAACAGGAGGATCCTCCGAGAAAACAAACCGGAATCGGATTTACGTCGGATCTGGGCAAAACCAACAAAGACCGTGGGAAAATTAGACGCGCCGGAATCATCCCGCGATCGTGAAAGTGCGGAAACTCGATAAGCGCGTTTTTACTACGAATCGTCTTACCGCGTCCGGGCGATCTCGATTCACGATTCGCCGTTTCACCGATCGACTAACGAGTACAGCGATAGATCGGATCGCTCCCGCGCGAGAAAATGGCTCCGTTCCCCGGTAATTATTATTTATTTACTTACGGTAAACCTGTTAAATACGTTAAACACATGCCTATGGCGTGTACAAATAATTCGCGCAAATAAGTTTTGTGAACAATCGGATTTATTTTTGTCACATGGTAATTCTGTATTAATCCATCTTTAAATTTTCCTCCGTATTAAATGCATACGAAGAAGAATCAGCCCGTTAAATAAAGAGTTATCATTGAATACATAAGCACGCAGAAACAGCGGTGCGAGATTAACGAGGAACGATATCAAGGAGATGAGAATATAACGCTATAATGACAAGTAGGGCGGGCTAGCTTTTCTTACGATAACTTTTTCATTTGCAAAAAAGTTAATTATCACGTCTAACGACAATTGCTCGAGCAAACGTTACGGATCGTTACAAGTACAGGGCTGTTATTCGTTTATTATTTCGGAGAACCTCTCGGTCGAGAATGCGGTTTCGTTTCCGGATGCCCGACCGTCGCGTCGCCCGAACCGATTGATCGAGCGATCGAGAAGATCCCCGCTCGAGAAAGAAGTTTCGGGTACGGAGTTGTCGCGAGAAGTGAGTTCAACGAGGTAGCAGCGGTAACTTTTGAGTCGGCAAGGGGCTTCTTCGACTCTGCGTTTTCCGGAAACGCGAACGAAGATCGCTGCCCGCGATCTCGAGACGAATTAAAGAACGGTCGATCGACCCCTCGTTGTCCGAGCTCCGCGACGGTCTAATCGAATCGCGAGGAGGGGGAGGGAAACGATTATTTAACAACGACGCTTCGCAGCCTGCCGTTTTCTCGAGACAAGCAAGAATATTAACGATCGTATTTAGGGAGTCGTGCTTCCCGATAACAAAGTTACGGCACGCCGGTAGAAAGGAGAGATGGCCGTCCTAATGAAATTAAGGGTACAAAGAGACGGTTCGCGTCTGTCCCTCCGACTCCGGCAGACACTCCTAAATGGCTATTAACGCGAATTTTGGGACTAGCTAGCGTCGTACCCTCTTCCTTCCCCCGATCGCCGGCGAACTAGTTCCCGCACGATCGACGTTCGATCTTTTCTTACTTCCGGGGAAAACTCGATTTTCCCTTTTACCTAATTTTTATTCGCGTCCACGCCAAGGGAGAAAACAACGCGCGTTCTTACTATCGCTGTAATCACTTACAGTTGCCTACCATATACGATGCAACATTTATCCGATTTCTAAAGTTACGTAACCACCACGTGTTGCACCGCTTCCTTCCTTTCTTGTTAGCTAAATCTTTTCCTAATAGAACATAGTTTAATCCACGTTTATTCTTTAAACTGAACGCTACGTTAACGTGCCCAGCGACGGGGGTTAAGCCACAGAGGTTCCATAACGTCGATAAAAAGAAAAGACAGCGAAAAAACTGAGAAATTTGCAAGCTCGGCTCGTAAAGTTCGCCGTCGAGTGCTCTTTCGGCTTCTTCTCGACTCGGCTCGCGTTTCGAGCGTAACGCGATTACGATTATGTCCCCGGGCTCGCTCGAGGAACAACGGGAATCGTCGCGCGAGGATAGGCGCGATATTAGAACAGTAAAAGCGCGAATCGGACGCAGCAATGGCAAACGACCGACGAGTCGTTGAACTTGTATTCGAATAACGATGCTCGCGGGATTTCCGACGAAGGAATATTGCTCGGTTTTTACGGGTCAGGCCGCGTAAACGGTGCGCGAGATTGCGTCGCGATAAAAGCACGTTATTTTCCCGTGGCTCGAGCCTCGTTCGCGGTAGCCCCGAAACGCCTACGCGACTTCCGGCCTCGAGGCTCCCGTCTTCCGCGCGGAACAACTGTCAGACTGTTGCAATCTTCCGTGTGCGGTATCCACCTTGGTATTTAGCTTTTGCTACAGTTTACGTAATTATGGGGAAAAACGTATACGCGTCGTACGAAGTCAGATAGCAAAAAAAAAAAGATTTACGCCATTGGGATTCTACTTTACTACCATGGAGAATTAGTCTGCTTTCTATCGCGTTAGCCAGGGAATTTCGTTCGTAAAGATTTTATCAAGTTGGAGAGCGCGCGGAGAGTCGTAAAAAGAAAAAGTGACTTTCGCGTTTTGAAAAAAAGAGCGAGCGAAGCGTATCGCGCTCGCGCGAACAAGGTTTAGGGTAGTATCCGTTAAGCCGTGGATCATCGCGGCGCAGCTACGTAGGGGTGGCACCGGCTATAACGCTCGTATTTCTCATATCGTTGAAAGTTTCAGCCCGTGCAAGCCGAGAGAGCGAGCGAGCGCGTTGTAAGGGTGCGCGGCGTGGCGAGGCGCGAGGCCGGCTCCGACTCCAGGGCGGGAAGGGGCCGCTGCCATAAATTTTACTACGTAATATTGTTTAACTGCAAACAGTATACTAACGCCCTACGTCCCGGCGAAATGGAAAAATTTCGACGCACGGTCGCCGCGCCGACAGCAACGAAGAAAACTCCGGCGGGCGGCTTCGTTTCTTCGACGACGGGAAACCAACGGCGGAATCGGGTTTTGGGGGTCGTTGACGAACTTGCAAATGCACCGATTCGCGCCGTTCGATCGAGACGGGGTCTCCGTGGCCGGCGACAGTACTTTCGCGACGGCTGCGCGCACTCTCGGGGGCCAGTTACGAAAAAATACGAGACGAGAAACGCCGCTGCTGCGAAATAAACTCGTAAACCATCCGCGTTGCGATTCCAGTTTCCACCCTTCTTCCAACCCCTGGACTAATCCAAGTCCGTCTTTTAGTCCGTTTGCAACGGTGATTGTTTAGCAGTCAACGTATCGACTGTTGTCATTTCGTATCAGGACTTGGAAAGTGAAATTGAAGAAACGACTCGTTCGGGGTAGGTCCCC